GGTTCAGGACGTAGAACGTTTCATGGTCTTCAAGTGATGAGGCTGTAGGCTTAAAGTTGTTGGGCCATGTTTTCGCGCAGATGCCGACGGAAAAAGCCATTATGTAGCTGTATTTTGAATTTCGACTATTTTTTGCCGTTTTAAAATCGCGAATAATAAAAAAATTTAATAGTCAAAACCGGAAGTTCGTATGCCTTTTCATGCTACCAGAAAAAAATACAAACTTTGCCTAATTAGGCGAGATTCCCCTTAAGAGTATTGATGCACCACTGTGCCGCTGTCGCTTACTTACCTAGATAAAAAGACAAATATTTTAAGATGACGGATTTCTAACAGATTTTATATTCTCCAATAATTTACCTCAACTCATTATAAGGGCAGAAAGTTTTTAAGAGAAAACTATTATATGTTATTTAGGTCTGCACATAATTTATTTTTAATTTATTCTTTTAATATATATATATTATTTATTTGATTTTTTAACGACCACCCTAATGAATGCACAATTTTCAAAAGTTGCAGGCATATTTATTGTATGTCGCGCTTTATATATTTATTTCTAGCGGACAGTCATTTCGCCAAAGCCACCATATGTCCTGCATATGTTTGTAAGGCATAATTTGTGTCGCGCTGGAGAATTTGGAATGTAAACAAATAAATGTGTAGATAAGCCAAAAATGTGTAAATACTTAGTCAAACTCGCGGGCGGCGGCTGTGTATGTATGTATGTTGTCAGTTGTGCTCAAAAGTGAAAAATTTTTTATATATAATTTTTGGGGCCTTCATTTGTAGTTCCTTTAAAGCATTTGAATATTTATGCCAAAAATATGCTCTTCGTGAAATGTATGATAAAAATATAACGAAATGAAATGAGCTTCTAAAAAATATTTCAAAATTATAGGTTATGATTAGCAAGCAAAACAGCAAGGAATAAAAAGACAGCAATAAATTTTGTAGAGATTAAAGTACTCAGTGTTGTAATCGTGGTTGAAAATAATAAATTACTAATTTTTAAGTCTGAGGAGTTGATTTAAAAACCTGTTCACACAGGACTCAATTAGCTAATTGACTGCAATTACACCCCTTTATAATAACAACATTAACCATCCGAAACCTTAAGCAGTTTACCAGTAATTACTCACTTGCACCCTGTGACGTATGTTTAGTGAGAAGAGCAAAATAGTCTTCAGTTGGCCAATTTTTACCATCAAGAGTATTTTGGTGAGGCCGATAAAAAATATTACCCTGATCTTTCACCATTTCTGGGATATATGGTGGATGCATCAAAACATCTAAGCCATCTGCCAATTTTCGCCTGATTCTCAAAAATGTATGTATGTGGTCGGGCGCTGTCATGATTTTCCATTGATCCATTCTAAGCAATATTTTTAAAGAGTTTGTTATAAACTGACTTAATGTGGATAGGAGAACATAAGATTGGCCGTTTTGCGTGGTTTTAGCGTCATCTTGTTTGCCGTAAATGAAGGCTTTGAAGTCATTTACGGAAGCTCACTGGCCTTTGATTATGATTTTTTTAAATATGTTCTCCTTAACTGTGATGAGTCGCCTTAGAGATATTGCGATTTCACTACATTTCAGAAGATATTAAGCGATGGTAGTTCGGTCAATGAAATTATTTTGCTTTAGTTTATGTGGCAGCCAAACACCGAGCTTCTTTGAGTATCTTACCTTTTTTAAATGACTTGAAAGTACTTTTTCCTTTGCTGAACTCTCTATGACCAGAGACGAAAATCACGAACGTTTCGCATACAGTTGGGAGTTTGTTTAAGATCTATCTGCATTTTATTGCATTTTTTGAGGTGGTATGATCGCAATGGAGAGAATTAATTGCAGCATGGCTGGCAGAATATATTGTAATTGGTTTGGCCATGAAAGACGTTCCAGTAGTCAGGAAGTCTTTTACTTAATTCGAAAGCAAGAAATTCAGTGTACCCTTTATGATCTAGTTTAGAGCCATGGGAAAATGTGGTTATGGATCAATGATTGCATTTTCCCATTTATTCCTCTTTGGAATTTTTTAGAGACAGTATTGTGGAAGCAGAAGACTGTCGTCGATCTGCCGTGGGAAGATGATGTAGATTTTCAAGCGCTTTCGTTGAGTGTTGAGAGTTGTGTACCTGTAATGAGGGTAAAGGCCATCCGCTCAACTTTTTAAAGCTTACTCAAAGCCTTGACTAGTGCTGGACATGAGATAGTGATACCGTAGTATAAAATGGGTTTTATTACCGCTTTGAATAGCCAGCATACAAAGCGTGGCCTAGTCCCCATGTCTTACCGACCGCCACTTTGGAGGACAGTCATAGCTTTCTCACTTTAGCTATCTAAGATTATGACGGATCGGACCTAGGTCTCGTACTCTGCCTTTTTTCATCAATGGCCTTCTAAATATAATTCTTCATTCTAAAGCAAGTATGTATGCAAACGATGTAAAGCTCTAACTCATTTAGTTTTCTCCTCTTTAGGATGCGAACTGTATGTTGCTAAATCTAAGGAAGTGGTTATGTGTTTCGCTAAATCATCATCTTTAACATAACGACAGGTATATTAGCAGGCCACTGTTTAATGATACTTCACGGAGAGACTCTATTTAACACTACGTCTGTCTTTATCTAGCCTTGACATCTGCGCGACACAAGTTTCTCGTGAAGCATTTCTTCGACTGTTTCGCTGAGCTAGCTTCGTCGAAAATGGGATATTTATTTGATTTTCTAAGTCACACAAAGATGAAGACCGGAACTCCACGGTATCACAATGGGCAGCTGCATCTACTCAACTCAAGGACCCTAAAACAGATTCCAGAAAGCACATAAATTTTTGTACCAATAAAAAAAGGCATCATAACTTTTGTTAAACGTTGGACTAAGGAGTTCAATGACCCGTGTTGTACCAAATTATTCCTTAATTTCCTTTTTAGGTCATTTTTGAATATAGCTTAGTTGTATGGAGTCCACACTATCAATTGGCAGTGTGATAAATGGGAATCTGGTTGATTAATCTTCCTACATTTCATAGTTGTAGAAAGATGCTTGGAGTTTTATTTTTAACTATATTGTTTGGTGTTAACCCATTTCTACTTAGGGAGCTTATCATTACCATCTCTTAATGACCATGTGGACATTTTAGTCCCCTTTCAATGTAAGAAGAAACTCTTCAATGCACGACTCTTTTAGATGTATCAAAACCGACGTACTGATAGTTTGAAATAATTAAGTTACTCCTTCTGATTTTTTTATAAATTTCGTCACTGGTCTCTTGGACTATCCGATTAATGTTCAGGCGCACCCCTCGGTCGGTTGGGCGGTAGGTGGATACAGCTGAGCACGTCGTCGAAAAAAATGGCGATTTAAATAGTTGTTAGTTGGCACAATCGGTCTAGTGTTGTCCGCCATATACATATGTATGTATGTTCATCTTTTCCATTGAATGTTGAGTCGAAAACACACTTTGGTAGCTGAAAATTTACAAACTCGGCTTCACCAATCAAAGAAGCCAGATCCACTTAGAGCTCTTAAATTGCTCCGGTTGGCTTTATATTGTCTTAACTACTTCCTGACAAGCATTCAATAGGACTTTGTAAACAAACCCATAAAACACACTTTCAGTAAATAATTTCACTTTTTATTAGTACTAATTGCACTCGTTAAACAATTTATATAAATAAACAAATACGAATTTCATGTGCTCCTCATTGTTACGAAAGAATAATAACCCAAACTCTTAGGCGGGATTTGTTTATTTATATTTTCCTGGCACAAATGTGGCAGTTTAAAGTGTTGCATGCAGCTGCTGTATGCCACTTATGTTGATGCAGTCATGTCACAGCCAATGTTGCATACACACATGCGTATATACACGCACATAATATGAAAATAACAGTACTCGAGCGCACGGAGTGAACAGAAGTTGCGAAATTTCGCTGTGTTGTGTGAAAATCCGAAGATTAAGAGGGTGATTTGCTCTTGCTTTGAAAGGCGTGTGGTAGTTGTGAGTTTCGAAATTTTGCTCATTGACTGAAGGTAGGCAATTGATGAAGCACTGAGCTCTTCAAATAAGATTGCCGGCCCTTCAAATTTTAACTTAGTTTAGGTATTTGTACTTTGAGAAAGATTTTTCACCTTCCTTTATTGCATTTGATGACTTACAGTTGCATTGAGAGGAGGGGGCATATTATTTAGAACTCGAAAAGTAAGGAAATATAAGAACCTTTAAGAAACTGCGGCCCAAAAATACAAAGTACAGCCAGGTCCTTCTCTACCTGGTCTTTCCAACTGAGTGGAGGTCTTCCTCCTGCTTTTCCACCGGCGGTTACTGCATCGAAAACTTTCAAAGCTGGATTATTCGTATTCATCCAGACCATATGACCTAGCCAACGTAACCGCTGCTTCTTGACTCGCTGAACTATATCGATGTCGCCGAATAACTCGTACAGCTCACCGTTTCATCGTCTGCGATATTCGCCGTTGCCATCGCTCTAAAGACCATAAACCTTACGCAAAACCTTTCTCTCGAAAACTCCTAGCGCCGACTCATCAAATGTTGTCATCGACTATGCTTCCACACCATATAGTATATCATCGGCGTACCTTCTCCATTCGGCACTGCAGCTCGTATTATTTTCTCTAGTATTAAGTTAAAGAAGTCACACGCTCAGGAGTTGCCTTCTCTGAAACCTCGCTTGGTATCGAACGGCTCGAAGAGGTCATTCCCGATCCTGACGAAGCTTTTAGTGTTGCTCAAGGACAGTTTACACTTCTGCATAAGTTTTGCGGGGATACCAAATAATAATGAGTGTTAAGCCTAGGACCCGTCGGTTTTTTAGATTTTAACTTAGAGGAAAACAACTCGTTGGTAATTATTGTAGGAGTTTAGAGCAAAGCGCTCAGCTCTATCTTAATCCATTGATTTTATGTAATAACAAATAATAAGACCCTAAATTAAAAGCGCAAAAATAATTTTTTCCAATGATCTTCTCTTTCCAGTTTCACTCTTCGGTGATGGCTACATAACGATGCCACTGCAAGAGGCTAAAATGTCCACAAATATACGCGTGAAATTTCGTACACAACAAGAGAACGCCTTCCTCTTTCTCGCCGCGGGACGTACGGATTACTGTCTGATGCGGTTGGAGGGCGCCACAATTAGCTTCACCTATAAAATTGATCGTGAAGTCATACAGGTAAGTTGGCAGACACATATACATATGTACACTCGTAAGAATTCAATAACATATTTTCGACACACACATAAATCCTCCGCAGTTGCGCTCACCCAAAAAGCAGCGACTGAACGACTTGGAATGGCACGATGTGGCCGTGCAACGCTACGAGAATAACATTACGCTGCAGGTGGATGGCAACATAATGCGCAAGACGTTGCCCGTCGAGATGACGGCACTCAATGTGCACTTTGGCACATTTCTCGGTGGGGTGGGCGATTTCCCCGCTGAGTATTTGACGGATGTGGTTGGCTTTCGCGGTTGCATATCGGATGTAAGTGCTCGAAGCGCTGGGCCAACTGTGGTGAGGTGGTCTTTTCATTTGTTTTCCTTTTTAATATTTGCAGGTATTTTACAACAACATTAATATAATTAAACGCGCCAAAGAGCGTACAGGTCACACGACTAGTATCGGCGTGACTTGGTCGTGCAGTAATGAGTTTGATGGCACCGTAAAAGATGCTATGAGTTTTCTGATTGAAGACTCTTTTGCGTTGATGTCGAAGGAGTCCAATGCTGCGGGCGAGTCGTAAGTGGCGCCTTTGAACTTTATTTAATTTTATACATTCTTTTACAACCATTCTTCACAACCTCAACCTCCTCTAGCCTCGTGTTGCAGTTTCGAACCATGGAGTCAGCGGGTGTGCTCTTTTTTAATGGCGGTTATGATTTCGTGCTGTTGGAGATCGAAGAGGACGCAGTCAAGTTGACGTTCAACAAAGCCGGCAGTCTTGTACAACTTTCACCCAACCAAACTGTCTCGGATGGCAAGTGGCATCGCATTTTGCTACGTTACAACGCAGCCATGGCGGAGCTCATACTCGACGATGTCGTCTATAGTGGCACACATGCCAATGATACCAAAGCAACTATTAATCTGGAGAAGAGTATCTTCTTTGGTGGCGTGCAGGAGGATATGCGCAGGCGTTTGTTGAACAAAGGTTTGTTGGTGAATGATCTCAGCTTCAAGGGTTGTATGCGTGGTCTACAAGTGAACAATGTGGAGTTGGGCTTTCCGCTAATGAAGGTTTCCCATCACTTGGCCGTGAATTGTGTTTGGAAATATCCCTGTGTAGAGCATAGACCGTGTCTGAAGAGCGGTATTTGCAACCAATATGGCGTCGATGAGTTTATTTGCTACTGCGATCAATCGTATTGCATCAAGGCGGACTATCAGGGTCCATTTAAGGTAAGTTGTTCCTTGAAATGTAAAGTTTTTTCAATACTCAACCTTTTGCTTTTACAGATCTTTACCGAAACGAGTCCGGAACTCGAACTGCTTTATGTGTCGCCCATGCAGTTACTCGAGGGCGGCACCGTCTTCCTTTCGACACATTTCATAGACGTGCTTATCGAAATGCGCAAGTATCCAAGTCTAACGGACACTTCCATCGCTTTCCACGTTGTCCAACAGCCCAAATATGGCCAACTTTTACAGTTCTCGGTGGAGAAAAACAATTTCGTGCAGTGTCGCACTTTCAGTCTTGTCGATCTCTCCACGGACAAAGTGAAGTATGTACACAATGGCATGGAGAATTTCAATGATCACGCCACATTGGACATGCAAGTGTATGGCGATATACATAAGATACCAGAAAATATTTTGGGCAAACATCGCTTCCTGCTACACGCCAATGTAACGCCCATAAACGATCCACCACAACTTCAGATACCTATCAATAAGATATTGCGCGTCATCGAGGGTATTGAGCGTGGACTGGATATGGATTTATTCAACATTGATGATCCCGATAGCGCTGCGTCGGCTTTAATCTACACAATACTGCCCTCCACAAATCCCGCTGAAGCGTTCGGCCGTTTTCTCGTGAATGGCATATCAACCATGTCGTTCTCACAGGCCGATGTTAATGCGGGTAAGGTGAGCTTTCTCTACAACTCGACAACAGCCGAGGCTTTTAGTTATCAGATTTTGCTGCACGTTTCCGATGGCATTGAGACGAGTGACACGGTATACCTGCCGGTATCTGTACACCCATTGGAGCTGCGTTTGGTCAACAATACGGGTCTAATTATGATACACAAGTCAGCTTTACCCATTACGCCGGCAAACTTATCCGTTGGCACGAATACAGCGGATGAGAATATTGATGTCCGCTATGATATCGTGAAGCCCCCACAATATGGAGCCATACAACGTTTACGGCAAGTGGACTCTTCTTGGGTGAATGTCGACTGGTTTAGTGATAGCCAAATGCTGCTTGGTCATATAAGATACTTGCATGGTACTGAGTTTCCCTGGCAGGATGAGTTCAAGGTGAGTTCTTGGTGTTGTTAGGCGATTTTATTCCAGACGAGTTTTATGGAAGAAATGAAAATTTGTTGTAGGAGACTCGTTGCGAACTCTTAAAAAGTTTTTTTTACAATCGAAGATTTTAATTTTGTGTCTAAACTACGAAGTACGTCTATCTTTTCTGAGAGAGTTGCAGATTCCAAAAGCGGCATCAGGCACACCGTGAAGATTAACTCTCTTATAAGTTAGGGAACGTGTCTTCAAAGAGAAGTCTTATTTTAATTGCCAATTGGGGAACTGCATTTAGTTTTTGTACGAACTAGCTTACCTTTAGAGTATTGCACAGAGAAGCCTTCGCTTTAAAAAATGTCCCCTTGGGTTTGTTATATAAGGAAGTGTCGCGGAAAAATTTCCTGAGCTGAGGGATGACAAAGATTTTGAGTTTATTTTGTAAGCTGGCCTTCTTGAGTGGAGTTACGTGGTCCTCCCTCTCAAATGAGGGATCTCTGTCAAAAGGAAGGAAGCTAAATAAGTGTTTGATATAGAGAGTCCAAATAGGTGAGATTTTACCTGAAGACTAGAAAAGCTACTGCTCTTCTTGGGTTCGGTTGCCTCCTTCATTCAGTTAGCAAACCTCGTCCTTAGATCGAAACCCGCAACGAGCGTCTTAGTGGCCATTATATTCATTATCTCATAATTCTCAACATGGTTAGTGAACTCCTCCTCATCAGACACTCCAACATTCTCTACTTTACTTTCAGTTCATTGCATCCTACGGTTTCGTCACGACACAAACATTCGACTTTCGCATCACCTTCACACGCCTACGCATAAACTCGGCTAAACCCTCGGCCATTGCTGTAAACGGTTCACGGGAGTTTGTGCTGACCAGCGACGTGTTGACCTATGAGACTGTGCCAATCGATACCTTTCCAAGGAATATAATCTACAAAATACTCAAGCCAACGAAGTATGGTGGCATCTATGTCGAGGGTTCTCGTAAATACGCAAAGGTAAGTGGTGAATATGAGTTCGGAACTCAAACGGTGCTACTGCTTTACTTTTACTTTGCAGGAGTTGGACTCGTTTACACAATTGGATATCGATAAAAATCGTATACGCTATAAGACGCATCTCACAAGCTATTCGCACTTCATTGACCAGTTGGAGTTTGTCGTTTCTGTAGCTGAATGTGATGACGTCATGGGTCGGTTGACTATACAGTACACACCGCTTGAGGCGAACACCGATAAATTAACTTATCAAAAACGTGAGATTCTCCTTGTGCAAGAGGGCGAGCGTGCACTGATTACCAAAAATCACTTCGAGATACGCTTTAATCTCTATGAGGGCCTACAGTTCACAGTAACTGAACCGCCACAGCATGGCACACTCTGTCGCTACGACGAGCTGGCAGCTAAAGTGATACCGATTACTGAGTTTGCATTGGAGCAATTGTTTCTGAATGATGTTTACTACTGCCACGATGACACCGAATCCACGGAGGACTCTTTCGATCTGCTCATACTCTCCACCGACGGTACGGATCTACAATTTGTTGCCGATATTGATGTGCGCATTAAGTTGATCAATGACAATGCACCTTATCGCACGGCGGAGCGAGTTTTTCACGTTGTGCGTGGCGGCTACCGTACGCTCAGTCCGGATGTGTTGCAGTACTTAGACACCGATGTGAACACAAACCGTTCTGATATCCTCTATATACACGTGTCGAGCACGAATGGCGCTTTCTATAAGACGGGCAATTTCATCGACACCTTCAGTCAGGATGATATCACGAATAGACGTATAGCCTTTCAGCATAAAGGTCCAGACGTGGGCACCGCCTCGTTTATAGTCACCGATCGTCAACATGAGGTGAACGGCTTGCTGGAGGTGCATGCCTCCGAACCGTTTGTGTCGATGTTGCCGACAAACGCGTCAATTGTGCAGGAGGGGAAGTTCGTGATTTTACGCAACAAAGATTTTATTTTAGAAACAAATTTGGATATGAAATTGGATGAGATCTACTATGAAGTAATCAAACCGCCAGCTTATGGTATACTCATGTATTTGGGTAGATCACGTAATGGTGGCAATGATACGGCGACGGGTCAGTACAAGTCTTCGAATCTGACTTCATTAACAAATTTCACGCATTTGGACATCGAGCGCGATCGTTTGGTGTACTGGAATACGGAGATCGCCTCCATGGATAAAGTGCGGTGAGTTGAGATTGGTCGTTGAAACAAAAAACTGTATTCTCAGCACAAACTTTTTTTCTCTCACTCTCTAGCTATCGCGTACACATAAAAAATATATCCGCCGAGGGTGAGGTCATCATGCGCATATACCCCTCAGCCTATTGGGAGCCATTGCAGGTGAAGAAGAATCAAACACTGAATGTCGAAGAATCTACAAGTGTCTTGATCTCACGCGACATACTGGAGGTACTTGTGTAGAGAGAGAGGCTTTATTATTTGCTTAAACTCTCATTTTTTACCTACCCACAGGTCGTTCATCCAAATATCTCCCCCGGTGATATTACATTTCTGGTTACCTCTTCGCCCATGCATGGCTATTTGGAGATGCAATCTATGTCCTTCGATGACGAATACAATTGCAAGGTTTTCGATCAGTCTGCGATAAATACTGAGAAAATGTTCTACATTCAGGCGGGTGTCAATCAGTCCTCGGATTATTTTGTTTTCGATGTCACGAATGGTATTACTTGGTTGCGTAATTTGATGCTGAAAATTGTCATTATACCGGAGAAGCTGTATATGCATACGAATGTGGTGTCCGTAGTGGAAGGTAAGTGGACTGGTCACCTCAGAGTATTACCTTGCACGAGGCGTGAACATGTGAGAGCTTTTTGAGGCTCCAACTATATTTCTGAATGAACAAATCTCTGTGTCCGTGAATGTGCTAGCAACAAGAGCTGTGAAATTCTTCTCTAGCCGAAAGAATCGGTGGGGAGCTTGCGATCAGCTCGAAAGTTTAGGACTTCAGATCCTTGCAAGTGCCTGCGATGAAAAATAGTGCATTCGCTGTTTCGAAGAGTCCTATTGTTGACCATACTCAGTCTGACAGCAGCTTTCTCGTTAAATGTTATGACCTTAATTTGCTCCATGATTTGGGTACTGGTACAAGGAGAATTCTCTTAAATCAAGTGAAGTTGATAAGCTTTTGGGATTCCTGATTCACTATCACCGGATAGGAAATAGTTCTTTAGCTATCACATGTGAGCTCGATTAACGTTGATCTAACAGCGTCCAAAGTCCTCTCGAGATGTCGCGAAATCTTCTTATACTCTCTAAGTCACTTATACTCTAAGAGGGGAAGAACTCTTGTCGGTCAATAGCCAACTCGTACCTTTAAAATTAAGCTGATAAGTCCTTGAAGCTCAATGTCCCAACGACTTCCCCCTCACTGACCTGCTATTGTGAAACAGGTTCTCACACCTTGGACAATCTCAGTGAAGTGTTAGACACTAAAGTTTGATCTCTTCGTTAGTCGAAGACCAGTCATCCATAAGCTGATCTAAACTATTTCTGAGAAATTTGGTGGACTGGAAAAGGACTGAATTAATGACTGATCCTCAAACAAGTAAGCAATCCCTTGTCAATAGCATTCTCTTAAGCGTCCGTCGTCGAATCTTCTTGTATGAATGTGAGATATGTGAATGGATACTAAAACTATGAAAATGGATTCAGAGCATGAGTCCATCTTTTTAAGCCAGCAATCCTTTTCGTTTTGTACTGGATTCACAAAGGTATTAACAACCATATGGACTCAAGAAAATGGAACAAAGTTTTGTTAAATATGCTCTTCGTGGAAGCTTTCAAGGTAGTTCGGTGTCTTTTCTTGTAGACTTTCCTCCCACCATCATCCCTTTCTCCAGAGGACCCATCTTTTCTTTCCCCTGCTCACCCCAGTAGCATGTTTTTTTTGTCTGTTTACATAAGCGAAACGTAGGATAATAATCGAAGTCCTATTGTGTTTAGAACCGTTAGATTTCATTTATCTCTTCATTTTTACTTTATTTTTAAATTTTATTTTGTTTTAACTGTAACTTCTCACTCTTCCTCAGGAAAAACGGTCCAACTCAGCTCCTCCGACATACAGCCTTTCTCCGAGTTTTATCGTGGCAAAATATTGGAGTATATCATCACAGTGGCACCGACGTCGGGTTACATTATGGCCGCCAACTCGAAAGTGAAACGTTTCACACAAAAACAATTGGATCAAGGCAGCATACAATATTTCCATAATGGCAATGAGAATGCGACAGATGTTATGACATTATTGGCGACAGCACGAAATAAAGAGAGCGTACCCTTCGAGCTGGAATTTTCCGTGGTGCCGGTCAACGACGAACAACCGATGGTCGTGACAAATACAGGATTGCAAGTGTGGAGTGGCGGCAAATATGTTATTAAATACACGGACCTCAGTAAGTTAATGTGAAAATTAATCAATTTAAATTAATGTTTAACCATGAAATCCTCTTCCTGCAGTGGCGCAAGATTATGACACGCCCGCCGATAATATAACCTTCATTGTCAATTATATTTATGGCGGTTACCTCGCGCGGCGCGCTGATCTACAACAGAAGATCGACACCTTTACGCAGGCGCAAATAAATAATGAAGAAGTATACTTTATACATGATGCCACTTCGCGACGCAACGAAATGTCCTTTATGGTCACTGATGGCCTCTTCAATACCACTGATCAGCTGCTGAATATCGCCATACGACCGGTGGAGATACTAGAGGAGCGTAATACCAATTTACATGTCTTTCCGCTCACCAAAAAGCAAATTCTACGCGATCATTTATATTTCCGTTGCTCGGATGAAGGTCGGGATATTTTCTACAATATAACGGTGCCACCAAGTCTCGGGCGCATATTGAATGAATATTTGGATAATGGCTTTTCGAAGGAGGTCACCGGTTTCACACAGAATGACATCGATAATGGACGCATTTTCTACGAACACACCTCGGTTATAATGGAGTTTCGTATAAATGATTCGTTTTACTTTGATGTTGTGGCAGATCGTAGTGATCGTTTGTTGGATCAGAAATTTAATGTGGAGATATCGGTATCGTCGGGTGGCCTGCTGCGTTTCTTGCCCGTCTCTAAGCTGCAAGTGGATGAAGGTGGCTCAGTGCCAATCAAATTGGACTTTTCGAAGATTTTAGAGTACTTGAAGACACGTGCGGGCATAAATAGTCCCGAGTTGTATATAGAGTCGACACAAAAACCCATGCATGGTACTATTGGGTTGGGACATGAGTTTAGAGCGGTGCAGAAGTTCCAGCCGAGTGACTTTCTAACGAAGAAGGTGTACTACATACACGATCACTCGGACACGTTGGAGGATACGATCTTGATGTCGGTGTATTTGTCGCAGTATCTATCACAAGGGTAAGTTAAAGCGGGAATAGTTTTAGTAAAGAAAATTTCGACAGCTGGTACAATTTGAGGTAAGTTCTCTAGCGGTCTGCTCATAGGTCAGTGTGTGCAGTGCCAGAGCCGATGCTGCGGACCTTGAATAGTAGATATTCAAGCTGCCTTTTCTAATCTCAGTTGGTATCAGCTTTGTTAAGTTCGATACACTTTTCATGCAAAATTTTTTGATCCAACTTTATTTTCACACTTGGAACTTAAGTATATTATTTATATTAACATATTTCAACCACCTCTCCCTCACAGCAACATATTCCTCTGCAACCTCACCGTGCCGGTCTCCATAAATCCAATCAACGATCAACCCTTCACACTCGTCACACATTTCCCTCAAATGACCGTAGTGGAGGGTGAAAATCAGACGATTACACGCAATATGCTGCTCACGGAGGATAAGGATACCCCACCCGAGGAGATCGTTTACGATGTAATGAGCGGTCCCACTTTGGGTGTACTAAAGAAGATCAACAACGATGGACACACTGAGGATCTGCTCGCCTATTCGAATCAGTTTACACAAGCTGATATTAATAACGGACGCATTGTCTTCGTACACTTCGGTACACCACAATCGACCACATTCTGTTTCACGGTCTCCGATGGTTATTTCAATCCAGCTTATGAGGTATTCACCATAAAAATTGCGCCCATCAGCTTGTTGCCAGCAGACTATCAATATCCGGTACTGGTGCCGCAAGGTGCAACCACTACCGTTATGAAATTGGAGCATATTTCATTGCGCACGAACGTACAAACCGAACGTTTATCGTATAACATCACTAATTCACCGTTATATGGTATTATTGTGTATAAACACCAGCCGACATTGCGTTTCAACCAACAACAGTTGGAGACGGCGCAAATAAATTACATGCAAACCGATTTGAATCGCTCCAATGACACCTTCCAGGTGAGCGCTTACGTGCCGGGCACCTTATATACCGCCACGGTGGACGTGCTTGTCGCAGTGGAGCCGGTTATAAAGATCACCAACGTCTCTATGGTGAATGAGTTGGGCAAGGTGCGACTGCAATCCGTTTTGGTCGCCGATAATCCGCTCTCTATGAAATTGAATAAGTTCAATCCCAAGTTCATTATCACGCGCATGCCCAAGACTGGGCAGTTGCGTAAAATAATACGCAGCACGGGCTTGGCGCCCGAGTCACAGAATGAACGTTCAACGAACATGTTCTCTTACAAGGAACTGCGCAGCGGCGTTGTGTATTTCGTGCCGAATGAGGCAGTCGAGCTCACAGTCGAAGACGAGGATTATTTTGAGTATCAATTGCACATAAAGACCGTGCAACCCGCACAGGGTGTCGTGCATATTGAGTATCGCGCGCCACAAGACAACAATGGTGATCGCGTGACGATGGCTAGCAGTGAGTTCAGCTTCAATTACATTGCGCTCGCGGTGGTGCTCATCATACTGATCGTGTGCATTTTGGTAGTTATGTTACTGCTGAAGATACGCTACTTGCGTCGCGACAAAGCGGACATTTCGAAGGATCAGCCACCTGCCTTACCATGTCCACCCGACTTGACGTCGGTTAGTCCACAACATCATCATCACCATCATCATCATCATCACTATGCCAACTCGGAGGCTGACTCAGTGCCCGCCACAGGCGCCTCAACGCCGCTACCCGGCTTTAGTAATATACCACATTGTAAAATTATACCGGTGGAGTCGTACAAACACGACTATCCTGACTATGATCCCGATGAGGGTGATGAAACGGATGATGCTCAGCAAATGATGCTGCCCCAGCGTTACAATCCCTATCATATGGAGAATGATACGTGGAGTTCGTCGTGCGATATGGCCAATGATTTTGGCGGTTACTCGACGGTACCCCAGAGTAGTGCGCCGCCCTCAGCGACTCCACCATCAGCGCCGGCAAGTAATCCGTTGCTGCGCCGAAATCAGTACTGGGTATAAGTTAAGTGTGTACTGAGTATAAGTTAATATACAATTTAAGGCGATGTTTGTATTGTGTAACCGTTGCAAAGTGCCTTTCAAGAGTTTTCTGAGGGCTTCCGAAAATAGTGCCTTCGTTTGCTCGTAACCAAAAAGGCAAAGTAGCTTAGAATTTGTAAAGTTTTTTATGAACAAACTGACTTAAAGACTTACCAAAATAAATATTACGGTCATATTACTAAAAAAATATTGGACTCTCTTTTGCTGAGTCAGCACTTCAGGTTAGATATCTGCTGGATACAAAGTAGAACCCCTTTCAAGCATACTAGATTTCTTGCAACCTTATTCTCCTACCACTAAATCTATGACTCTCGGACGAAAATGAGTGGAATCTGTGCCGGAGTTGTAAGTGAATGAATTTTGGATTAGAGCTTTCACTATAAGTTTTTTGAACATTAAGTATGACTGCCCGAAGATTATGAGGACTGCAAGCCGAATGAACAAACTACATATAGTCCACTACTTTTAAATCTACCTCGCCTAACAGCTCCTCACATGAGTGGGCATATTGAGCTTTGGCGCCTACTCATCTCCATCGTTTGCTTTCTGGGTCACAGGTCTGTTGTCTATTCAACGATAAGCAAAACATACCCCTGGCATAACGTGCAGTATAGAAATTAGATTTTCAATTACAGTTACCATGAGGTAGCGCAGCTCCTTTGAATCAATTTTCGAATACATAAACACTTGCGACGACTTCCCACCTTGGCTCGGATAAAGCAATATCTTGGTACGGCGGATCGTCCCATTGAGTTTTAGAACCACACCGTGGTTATAGGTACAACAACAGCCAGAAGTGCTTGCTCATAAAACGATAGTTCTATATTTTAGCTGTTATGCAGCAGATCCAGCAACAAGCTCATCTCCGAATAGGTATGTCTAGTCTTTTTAATCGCAAATACGAGCAGTCAGCATTTCGATGCAACATTAGCTTATCAACAAATATTATCTCTGCCGTGTTTAAAGTAATGTGGATGTCTATAGTAACTTTTCCCTTAGATTTTACATCCACTTCGCTTCAGCTTAACAAGCTAAAGTTGCTGATCATTCGACAAACGACACCTCTCTTTTCTATTCAGCTGGGATTCTTGTTCATCTCCGACTGGTAGCCTTCTTACCTTTGAACCTCTGAAATTACGAATTGTCATCCTAAGAGCCGCTTGAAGATGCCGTCGCATAGTAATGCGACTAGAAGTCATTCTTCCGTTCGCTTTTGGGTAGTAGAAATCATCGCCCTAAACTTCACGTCCACTTCTTACCAATACTTCGCTCTTGGGCTACAACCCGACCTTAGCTGCAGTGGCATAGTCGTTCGAGGAGTAGTGGTAGTATCATGTAGAGTCTAATTTGTCTAATTGGTCCCTTATTCGGTTCCGATTTAACTACAACCAGAAGTTAGGGAAAGAGATACTTTGAGACTCGCTAAGTACTGTTGAAGTAGGAGAAGAATTAGTTGTGTTTTAATCTAGATGGACTACCTATTATTACGTAAAATAAATAAATAAAATACAATATATATAAAAATTCTAAATTATAATACAAAAATGCAAAAAAGTGAAAGATTATTCTAGTTAAAAATATTATTAATATCATAAATTATTTTATTTTATATTAATCTTGCCAATTTTCATTTTCATTGCGCCAAAATGAACAAACGAAGTATTTAAAAAAACTGAATGTATGTATGTAGTTATGAGTTGTACTTAGTTTTATGCCGGCCATATTTCGATACCAAATTATTTAAATTTTTAAAATAATAATTATTTAAGAGTATAGTACAAGAAGAACAAGAAGAAAATGAAATATTTCATTTATAAAATTTTACGAAACTAAACATATGTGCGAATATATTGTTCTCATACAAATGACGCCCTGCTTTCCAGTGCAATGCCTTAGACCAGCGTAATGATGAACACATTACCCTCCGACTTCCTGGTAATGAATTATGGAAGTGGTAGCGCATTGGCTTGCTATTTTACTACGTTTGTGGATTTTAATGATTTTTTTAGTATTTTAAGCTTTTATTCATAAATTTATTTATATAAACATTCAAATATTAGGTGTAGTAAAAACAAATCCATTATTTTTGCATAAAATTGTACGAAATGTCATATTTCTAACACCATCGAGCGGAACCCGATCTAGCTTATCTAACGCGAGATACAGATAAATAGCGGCAACTATTGGAAAAATAATGGATTTCTTTTTACTACACCTAATATTTATGAAAAATATTATTAAAGTTTTAAGTAAATATTGCAAGCGCCAATATTCGAGTAATTAGTGTTTAAGATTTTGACAATAAATATTGTTTTCTTTTTTTAAAAAAAAATATGATTAGTTTTAGATTTTTTTTGTGAAATCACTAAAGGAAAAACAATAACAAAAATGATCAGAAATAAAGAAAAAAAAGGCTGCGAGCTTAGTGTTGGATTTGTGGTAAGAGTAAGAGACTCAGACATCGCGTACTATCGATCACGACAGTGAACAAACGTTTTACTTCAATTCGCAGGAGAGCAGAGCTCCTCATAAGAGCTTTTTCATGCAGGATATTGAGTTTAAGATCGGTAAAATTTCTTTATACTGTTGAAGTGAAATTTAAACACGCAGAGATAACGAAATACCAATCGCTGCCGATGGTATAAATGTTTCGGCGCCCGCCTATGATGAAATTTGAACAGCGCTTCCTCACCTAAAGAATAACACCCTGCAGAAGAAAATACTCGTTGTCAACTAAAATTCAACTAGTTTACATTTTTTCACCAACTAGTTCATCTTCGTCTATTTTCCATGTAGGCAATTGACAATAAGAGGTCTTCACTGTGGAACGTGGGGGTCCCGGTCCGACTCTCGCAGCCGGCGAACTGAATTTTATTTGATTATTTTTTTTTTTTTTTTTGGTGAAATAGAAATTCAACATGCCTAAATGTACTAGTAGTAAACTAGTATGAAGCTGATGCATAATAGGACAATTGTCAGCTCGTAGGACATTGCCGTGTTAAAAATACCAGTTGCTTACATTTAAAATGGATGAAGATGAACTAGTTGGTGAAAAAATGTAAACTACTTGAATTCTAGTTGACAACTAGTATTTTCCCATGCAGGGAAAGCGTCGGAATTCTATGGCTTATCGGATAAGCTTTAACAGCATTGTGGCATATAAATCACAAAGTGTTTACATAAGATTCCTTGCAAAATATGGTGTGACGAAAGCATACCCGATGAATAGAATTTAAGAGCGATCTGACCAATCCATAAAAGGTTGGAAATCTGCGCCAATTATCCCTAAATACGTATTCTTAATATTGAATATAAGACCTTGCCTAGAGAATTCATCGAAGGATTTAACAGCGCCATCAACAAACTGATTGACCCTTATATGTGAGGTTGCAAACTTGGTAAATCTACAAACGTACCATATGCTCACCAAATTTTAGAACAGACCTTTAAGAAAAGAACTGACACTCGCCACCTCTACGTCGACTTTAAAGCCCACTTCGATAGCAAGAAAGGGCGCTGCCTCTATTTTTCTATGGCTGAACTTTGTATTTTCGCAAACTTATACAACAGGTGCACTTGACTAAAACCCAAACCATACAAGTCGGTCACCAATTCCCGTCCTATTAGATGGTACTGAGGCCATGACGATATTAATATCTAATTTATCGGTATTGGTTGGATGAAAACACATCAGCTTTGAGAGAGTATTTGATGCAATAATAAGGCTCAGTTGGTAGCGACCTGGTTTCACGTGGTATTTCTAACTAGCTGCAGACAGTTACTATTAACTCTGCTACAATCGCATGCGTGCCCCTAGAGAATAAGAATATATTAAATCTGTATTATATGTAGATAAAACTAAGAGTACATATTTTTAAAAATGAAATAAAAAATCTATGTCTGAGCCGGGGAAACCAAAGTTCAATCAACTCAGTGGAGCTACCAAAGATGGTTATTGGTGCTAATTTATGATGGCAACATATAAAAAAAATTATTTTCTGTTCATACCTAAGAGTGTAATTTTGGTATTCGAAATGAAAACTATGCAAATCAAATTAGTCACACAACAATAGGCGTTTTTATACTCATATCCGCCTTTGGCACTTTGTAACCACTAAAGCGATTTTCGGCCGAGCTGCTGTCATTAGTGTTGCGTCTTGATGTTTTTCTAACAAATGAAGGGAACTACAGTTTATACTAAGCCGCCTCCGAAAGGGTGATGGTTTTTTTTACGAATAACCTTTATTTCATGGCCGAAATACACTCGGAGGGGTGGACATTCCCTGAGAAGGGGCGACCGCAATTAGAACATTTTTCATTGAAATTAATGTTCTACAACTTTTTGGATATTAGTACGACACCAGGATTTGAACTTGAGCCTTCCGAATGGCAGTACGCAATGCTAACCACTCGGCTACCGCGGCAGCCTGTACCAAGTACTTCTATCAAATCGGCTACGAATACCGCTGCTGAATATTATTTTTAAATCAATAAGACACCTCTATTAGCTTTAAGAATCATCAAATGCAAGCAGAAATTATAAGCCACGCTAACAAAGTTGCTACTTCCAAACAATTTTAATTTGAAATTTTGGACATAAAAATTTAGTACTCCTTATGACTCTATTAAAATTAATATTTCAATATATTTGCGTATTTAATTAGCAACTTCTTTTATTTTGATGTGTACAAAGTGGGCAGCGGGTGTTGTATTTCTCATATTACGAGGGTGCCCTTTTATATATCGGCATTGGGGTATAAATACGAATATTAAACATCATCAATCGCTTTTCGCTTTTTTCCAAGTATTCTCCTTCAAGATCTATACATTTTTGCATGCGTTTGAACCGATTGCGAAAGCACTGATGCCACACTGATTGCGATATCTCCAAAACTTGCTATCTAAACGCATCAACCGGCTCTTCAGGTGTAGTAAAATATTGACCTCGGCATCGGGAAGGGCCTGTTCTGATTCTTCAGGCTGCACACAAAAGGGAAGCAGGTCAGGTAGTGAAAAAGTCCGTCGGCTTTGGGGGTATTCGAGAGTAAGGTTTTGTGCAAATGTTCATGCAAATCTGAACGTTTGCTGGTCCTACTAATGCCTATAATTGTCCTTATTTACGATAATTGTTTTCGAAACAACAACTGATTTTAGACGAACTTCTCGAAATAGGTCTTGGAGTGGTCTCTCGACTCTCGTTTGAATTCACTATACTATCGATAAACATTGGTCCTTGAAGAAGCTTCATAGACAAAAATTTAATAAAGTTCATCGATACACTGGGTGGTTGGCCCCAAACGAGCCCATTGTGCGACCACTGAGGATCTCACTAATAAATCGCTAATCGAACCAGTGCGTGGAGTTTGAGAAACTGGGCAGTTGTCGCATCTTAACAACCGCTATCTCGCTCAGGTCTCCAAAGTTCGCCGTCCCTAGAGACTTCAATCTACTCCTCCAAAGTTCGGAGCATTCGCAAAGAAAGTGCCTTAAAGTTTCCGGTGCTTTTTCCTGTCTGCAACTTCTGCAGAAATCATTAAATGGCACGCCTAATCCCTCAGCGTGCCTGCCTATTAAGATATGTCCTGTAAGAAGACCTATAACTGTAGACATACGCTTCGTTTTCAGCTCGACAAGATCATGTGACTATTCACTGTTCCATTCTGGCGATATGGTCCTGGCCACATTACATGTGTTGAGACTTCTCCAACTTAAGTTGGCATCTAACAGTCAGCTTACAATTGGAGAGCGGCATGTCCAAACTCTTCCATGATGGAGAAAGTGGAAGGGCAGTGCCCTTCCTTGTAAGCTCGCTCGCCCTCTCATTGCCCAGTATGTTACTGTGACGCGGGACCCATACCAGGTTCAGAGAGAACTGCTTAGCCATCACGTTAAATGATTTGCTGCACTTTTCAAAGGTGTTAGATTTTACTGTTACAGACGCCAGGGCTTGTAATGCAGCCGGGCTATCCGAGATGATATGTATATCCAAAAATACCGCTGATCTTAGACAGTTAACAGCCTCATGTATGGAAAAACTTCTGTCTGAAAAACGCTACAGTGATCCGGTTAGCGGATTTACAGATACCAAGTTCTGTCGAGTAAACCCCCCCACCAACACTGTTTTCTAGTTTCGGTCCATCCGATGAACTGTTATAGAGTTAAACAAATTTATCAATTGCTTGATTGCAGCACTAGGACAGCGAAATATCGGAATAAAAAAGGGAGCCCTCGTATTTTGACACTAAAATCGTATATATTGATCGGGCGGAGCCAAAAACTCTAGACTAGTGCTAATAGTATCTAAATATTGAGCAAATAAGAAAGTCATAATTGAAATACTAATGGTAATAACAAATCGAAATTGCTTAAATTGAGGTTTACAGTGTGTACGAAAAATATTTTAACTGCGTTTTCTAATCACCCGAATCAACACATTTTATTTATATGCTTTTATTAATATGTATTTTTATTAAAATACTTAGTATTCAATGTATATAAATCTCTATATGTATAAAAATATATATAAATTTTATTTTAAGTACATAATTTTACATACACACATACATAAGTAAGTATGTAAATGGAAGCATAACTTACGCTCTACTTATCAGGGAAAAATATATCACTTATAAAATGGACGTGATGTTTTACAATATTCTGATTAAATCAATCAATATCATGGACAAATTCTACATACAAACATTAAATTGTTATTAGTCAGTAAATTTTGTAATTTACTTAAACCTGTACTTTTCTTCAACTAATACTTTCTAACGATGTCAATCGGTTTCTTCTACAATTAATAATATCAACTCTATTGCTTCTTCATTATTATGTTTTTACTTTGCTTACAACTAAATAAATTACTAATTTTAAGTACATGAGCGTTTGAGTGACGTCAATATTGTATTGCCAATAGATGAGTCAACGATGACTTTATTGTAAATTTTAGAAAAAAAAAAAACTACAGAGCTTGAAAGTGCTTTGTGGAAGCACCATTTAAAGCGAATTTTATCAAATTAAAATTCTTACAACATTATAATTAAAAACTACACGATCAATTACCAGCTGATCGTCATTTGCATGCCTAACGTGTTTTTCATATTCTCAAACCATTAAGTCATAAGCATCATCTAACGATCTTCCACAACTATACAACAACTGCTCAAAATATTACTGTACTTCCTGACATTCCTTAAGCTGAACTCAGTATCCTTTACCCTTACTAATTTCCTTCCTCTTCCATAGTACCCGAAAACTTCTTCCCCAACCGACGTGATCAAAAGCCGTGCACACTGCCATTTGGCTTCTCTGACACGGGCGTCACGGCGAGTGCTTGATTATCATATGAATATTCGCCGCTTACAGTGGTTGGTGTGGTGCTATTTTCCGCCGGATAGCGATTACTTACGGGTGTGGTCATGGTCATTACCGAACCTTCGGCGCCTGTTTTTACATAAAAAAAAAATTATATTTCAAGTTTTGTAAAAAAATGACCATTTCATCTCGCTTACCTGTCACGCTATAGATCTGTGATGGCGCGCGCTCTATGTCACCATTTATTGCCATCACATTCGGTATGGTCGCACCAACCACCAAATCTTTGCCTGTGCCTGCAGCTTCATGTTGTTTGTGCAGTTTCTTCAACATTGCTGTGCAGAATCGCTTGCGTTTCAGCCAACGTCCGGTTTTGTAGATGTAACGTATGATGATGAGTGCGAGTAGCACGATCAGCAAGATCAGTATGGTATTCTGTGTTTCGTGTATGCTGTGTATTTCAGCTTTCAGTGGATCGAATTTGTTGTATTCTGTAAATTAAAGTGGACAAAATGGAAAGAATTAAGAAATTATTAATATTACTAGAGTACTAAATAATTGCTCTGTAAAAGCTCCGCCAGATGCTGCTAAGCGCAGAAGATCTTCGAACTCAACTCATAAGATAAGTGTTTCGAGAAAGTAGGAGTCAAACGCATAAAATTTCGATTCTGATTCATATAGTGGTGCGGATAATAACCTTGTGTAATTGAAATATCTCTAAGGTTTGGATGTTTTCAACTGACAGAGTCCTATTGGCTATGTAAAGCTCAAATCCCACCGAACAATCCGTGGTCCGTCGAAGCAGAGCTTACAGTAATTACAATAATCAGCGGACTCAACTTCAAATACATTAAGCTGAGATCTCCTCAGTTGACTGAGTCGTTGAACGCACTTAGATGGGTCCGATAATGCTAAGCCGTAATTTCAGTGACTAAAATCTGAAAATTCTCTCTGGCTATTAGAAACAGAGCGGAAGAAAGCTCACCGAGACCAAAGCATAATTATAGTTCACCAACGAGACTGAAAGAATTGTATAACCCATGCATAAGTCTTGGAATTGACGTGCTATAAACCTTTAGCTGAGCTCCATGCAAGTGGTTACGGTATTCTCCCTCAAGAGATCGTTAAAATTTGATATTCGTCAGTGTGTATTTTTCATTCCGTTTAAGCCACGAAATGTCTTTTTTCTGTTTGAGTTGTTACGGTAGGTTTTAAACTGATCGTCTCATTAAGACTTGCCTCCGTACTTAATATATTTAAAAGAGAAATTGTAAAACATTGGATCTGGCTCACAAATACGAGGGAGCCGAGGAGTTCGATTAGTGCAAAAGCCACTTGTAGTGTGACTTCGTATATTTCCGAGAGGCTCGGAACTAGTAAACGATGGTAGTAAACTTCTCGTTTACTGCTTTCGAGCAGTCCTTAATTACGTTTCTTGTACATGAAACCTTCCTTTAGGCGAAGAGCGAAGCTAGAAAGACATAAGAATCGGTAAATTCTATATTTATGTAGGTCCACAATCGGCCAGAGAGAACTTTTCTGCCAAAATTTTTTACTGGTACAAGATACAGTTACCTTGTCAGTCAGTCAAGTTGTATATACTTTATAGAGTTGTTGTATGGCAGAAAATGCTAGAAAAATTTACTTCAGCTGAGCAACTGGAAATCATCATCCAAGGCGCGGTTCTCTAAAAGTATTTGTGGGAAATTAGGAATCATGTCAACTTTGAGACATTTGTAAAATTTCGCCTTCGGGTATTGCAGATAAGTCCACTCACTCTTAGGGTCAGATAGCCTCGATAGATGTGGTGTTCGCTTTGGAAAATCTCGAATTCATTACAGCTGAATGGATTTCTGTATCTCCAAGCTGGGACTAAGGGTATAAAATAATTGTTGTAAAGAAGTGCGTAACTTCTTTATGGATGGGACAAAACTTGATACGAAGAGAAGAGGAGGCTCCAAGAGTGGTGAGCTTGTACGTGTGGGTAGCACCACTTTCTTAATGCCGGTCAAACCTTAAATCTGTGCTCTGCTCCGGGAGAGATATAACTTGAAACAAGTCAGCTTTGACCCACGATAAATAGAAGAAAAGAGTGGGTAAACTAATTTCCATACCAAGGTCAAAATTCTCTCACACTGCTCGAGCTCTGACTGGATATTGTTCATTTGGCACGGTAGTAATTGTAAGAAATTAGATGACATCAACTAAGCATTTTCTAAGCTAAAGTTTTGGCGTTATACAAATTTGAAAATTTCTGAGATGCTCTAAGCTATTCACAAAACGAAGCGGCTAACTGGCTTCGCCCTAATCTAAGCTAACATGATATTTTCAAATCGAATATTAGAACTACACTGCACTTCAGGATTAAGACAAAGTTTCCTAGAGCTTCTCTTACTTACTTATGTTCATTAGAAAGAAAACATTCGGAAATAGCTTTACTCTATCAGACAACATATAATGTACTTCTGGTCGGAGTCTATATAAATGATACTCAGTTTAAAATGCAACGCATCGGGGAGTACTTTGTACGGAGCCGTACGAATAAACTACCCAAAACCTCATTTGACAGTTGGCGACTCAAGATGAATAGTCTGAGCTAATATTGAACACCTGAAGCCAATGATACAATAATTTAGGCTCCTTTGTGAGCTTGATTTTGGTTTGAGGTCGGACAAATGGATACTACTTTGCCAGTTATTCCTATCAGCTGGTTATTTAAATGAACGATATTTCACTAAAGAGTACTTTACTTTGCAGTTAGACATACTCTATTTGTAGAGCACCGAAGGTACGTTTATACTGAAGCGTTGCTATATTTTTCCAGAGGAGAAATCGGTTTGAGTTGTAAATTTGTTGATGCAATCGAAAATACTTCTACTATAACGTCATTTGTTCTACCAGTTTTTCAACATGAAATTTTATTATATTTTTTCTACTTCTAATATTTACAAAGCAATTTCAAAATAATAAAATGAAACTCGTATCCACAACTTTCTTACTGGTATAACAACAAAAAAGCAATCGGAAATATTTGCATAGCATTTTTCACACACCTCAAACAGCGCGAACAGTGAATCTACTAATAATAATTGAAAATTATTATTTATTATTTGACTTTTGTAAAATTAAACAAACAAAAGTGGTGAATTTCCCCCCACAAACTCAATAAAACTTACTAAAAACATTCGTATGTGCGTATATATGCTCATACAAATGTGTATGTTTGCACTTGCAATAAAAAAAGAACAAACTATTTGTTTATTGTTTATGCACACACTTGCATTTATTTGCTCACTCATACCTTTGCTTTGTTACTATAATATTTTGTTGTTAACGGCAACTCAAATTGCATTTGCACACCAGACGACAATTTGTTTGCTTTAATTACAATAAATAAATATACTATACTAGTACATGTATTTACAAAAAAAAAAATTTTTTCTTAAAATCTTTTTTATTTACGTACATATTTATATATTTTAATTTTTTTATTATTAATATTTTTTTTTATTATATTTTTTATTCTTTTTTTCAAGTCACATGCAATTAATTTGCAAATGCAACTGAAAACTGAGTAAATTTGCGGTGTCGCTGGCATTTTTTCTCGCGTATTAAATTTAATTAGATTAATAGGAATTTTGTGTGGCACTTATTGATGTGTAACTTAATGCTAATAACCTCGAGACTGCATTGGAAAATTTATACTTTAGAGCAGTGAGCTCTTCACTTTGATAAAGAGAATTACAATTATTCCATTAATCGGTTATTTTCTCAGAACTTTTTTCTAATTTTTTTCACCACATTAAAGGGCATACCTAGTGTATAATTTCAAAAAAAAAATCGATCTTTTTTCATATTTCGGTATATTACACCCAAATAATATGTAATATCGAAAATAATATATTAAAATTTCAAATCGACAACTCAAATAGTTTTTGAGTTATAGCAATTTAAAGAGCAGCCGCTCGGCCTCATTAGCTACGAGTGAAAACGATCATTTTATCTTTAAACGCGTTTTTTCTCGAAACAGCATTTTCCGAATTTGCTGCAGTGATTACTCAAAAACAAGTGATCCGACCACTATCGAATTTTCTTTACATGTTCTATATATAGTTTTTGATCTCATCAAAAAATTGAATTTTGGTAGGCCAAAAACGACCAAAACTTAAAATGCCGCCAAATTGTCAATTTTTGGTTTTTTTACCGTAGGTCATTATTCAGACAATATTATATAGTAGAGAATTTTTTGTTTTTTTAGATTTTATTCACGGAGTGAAGGACCTTTTTTCGCGCCGTTGGAGATCTACTATAACTTAAAAAGTATTTAATTTTTTTCCTCAAAAATTTCACTGTATATTCTTGAAACATGTATAAACATATTCTTAAATTTTGAAATAATTGATGAAGTATTTTTTTAATAAGGTATGCCCCTTAAAGCTAAAAAATGAGAGGATGAAAATTAAAGTATTGATGACTGCATAAGTTCGTTCCCGATTTCAAGTGAAAACTAAAATTGAAATTTTTTGAAGAAAGCGCTTTTATTAATGAATTATGTATTCGCCATGATATTCGGCAATCCACTCCCAACGTTCAACCAATTTACGGTTGCCTGATTCATTGAAATCGCGCGGTTTCTCGTTGAAAAAGGTGTCAAAGTGGTTTTTGACGTCTTCCACATTTTAAAATTTTTTTCCATTCAAATTGTTCTGCAGTGATCGAAACAAATGATAGTTAGAAGGTGCAATGTCGGGTGAATATGGGGGATGCGGCATGATTTCCCAATTCATCTCCTTCAGTTTGGCCAGGGTCGGTTTTGCAACATGTGGCCTGGCGTTGTCATGATGGAAAAGAACTCCTTTGCGATTGGCCAAAATCGGACGTTTTTCATCAATTGCTTTCTTCAATTCGACCAATTGCTGACAATACTTGTTGGCAGTGATCGTTTCTCCAGCTGGCAAGAGCTCAAAATAGATCACGCCTCGGATATCCCACCAAATGCACAGCAGTACCTTCATCGGATGCAATCCACCTTTCGACATCGGTTCCGCCCCTTCGTGTGCCTGTTTCCATGTTCTTTTGCGTTGAACATTGTTGTACAGGATCCATTTTTCATCACCAGTCACGAGCCGATCCAAAAAAGGTTCGTTTTTGATCCGTCGAAGCAAAGAAATTGCTGTTGACATACGGTCCACTTTGTTTTTTTCACTCAACTGATGTGGCACCCATGTATCGAGCTTCAAAGTGTACCCAACCTTTTTTAAACGACGAAACGCAGTTGATTTGTTGACGTTCAATTCACTGGCAACCTCTTCCGTCGAAATACGTGAGTTATTCGCAACTAAAGTCCTTAGAACATCGTCATCAAGCTCAGAAGGCCGTCCACTGCGAGGTTGATCTTCGAGGTTAAAATCTCCAGAACGAAATTTCGCGAACCATTTCTTTACTGTGCGGAGTGCTGGAGCACGGTCCAAATAAACTTCGCGAATATCTTTAGTTGCAGCGCCTACTGTTTTTCCTTTGCGGAATTCGTATAACATAATATGACGCATATGATCTTTTTCGTTGTCCATCTTCCATGCGTCTTTTCACTAAGCAACTCAAATCAAAATGAAGTTATTTTATGCTTGATTTACAGTTCGGACTGTCACCTTTCCAACGATATATAATATGTATATATTTCTTTCAAGAGCGCTACTCTCAAATGATTCGAACGGCATCCAGCGGAATCGGGCACGAACTTATGCACTCATCCAATATAATAATTAAACCAAGAAATATAAAGCTTTTATATTACAGCCCACTCTGTTAATATGAAAAATCGATTGGTTAACAGATATCTCTTCTTGAGCTGTTAAGATCATCATTTCTTTAACAGATTATATGTACTAATTATTGCCAGAAATCATAAAACAGCTATTTGGCTGACGGGTTGTAAATTTGATAATAAAACTTTTAAATTTTTAATCAGCAGAACAACATATGTTAATTTAACGAATAAAATGTTTGCATGTGATTTAACTGTGAAATCTGTTAACAGAATTTTGCTCTGGCCTTAATCATTTGTAAAATAAATGATACCATGAAACAATTATTTAAAGGAAGAGATTATCTCTCTATTATAGATATAGTTCTCGTCTTGAAATATTTTATTTGGGAACATCGCGTGTGGAAAGAAAGATGCGTTTCTCTTTTAGCGTGAGAAGAAGAATTTCTACTTCGCTAAAGGCACTAGTAAGCAGATTTCCCATATCTACAACTTTAACGTACATAAATTGCGTCTTCCTGGCAATACGAGTTCAGATATATATGTTAAGTCGAGTAATGAAGCCTTCAATGGATTTTCAGAATTTAGCTTGAGTTATTTGTTAGTGGTCTCCCAAGCCTCAAACTTAAACGAAGTGTACCTTGAGTTGCCAACAAATATGCGAGCTAAAGTGAGGGGCCAAGTCCCATGTGTTAACTAGTAGAGTTTCAGACCCCGCGTATAAAAATTATGCTCCAATGGAAAATTTAGAAAAATATGCCTAGATGTTGAACGCTTCAAGGATTTGAGAATATGAACAATGAACGCAATGTCTGATATCCTAATTATGAAAATTTCGCCATATTCTGCGGAAAATTCAGTCAATAAATGAACACAAATGAACAAAGACTGATCAACTTCGCTGGGACTCGAAATATCATCTAACCGGTCACTTATTTAGGTCATTAATATGATACACAGAGCAATACAAAAAAGAGGCGTCTGCTGTAACATTATTATTTCTCAAGAATTATCGCAACGCATGACAAGATCGACTTCAATAGACTATATTATTCTTTTACGTGTTGAGAAAGACTCTTGATATTCTGCATCAATGAGATCAGTGCGGATATCTGCCAAGCTTTATACAGATTTCTTATCGTCATAAATACAGAGTCAGTCTTATAAATTATGAGAGTGTCTTCTCCCCAGAAATATTTTACTTTACTATAAAAAAAATTGTATTTATACCCTTTTATTGAACAAACTTACCAGAGCATTCACTCGCGCAGACATCGGCATTGTAATTATGCGTCTCCTGATCACAAATGCGCTCACACTGATCACAACCGTCGAAGAAACTCGAACAATACTCCTCAATTGGCTTGCAAACCTTGCCAAAGCAATCCTTCGCGGTTGCCGCAAGAGCAGATTTGCTACTAGAAGCTGCCTTGGCGATGGCGAATGTGGTGGGCAACATAAATGACGCAAAACGCAGTGCCAGCAAACTTGAGCTTGAACTGTGTGAAGTCATAACTGATGTACGTGGTGATGTGATGATGTAGTGATGTGGTGATATATCGATGTGATGTTGCGATGTGATGTTTTGTGTTATCACTTGAAATTATGTTTATAATCAACTTGTGTTATTTCCGCTACGATTGGTTGCCTTTGAATTCGAGTGGGAAGCTATTTACTGATATTTTTATTTAATTTGTGTGTCATTTATTATTTTTATCATTTATTTATTATTTATTTTTGTATATGTGATTATTTCCTTAATTGTTTTAATTGTTATATCATCTTTCTATTGTACAACAACAAATGACAAATAGAAGAAAAAACACAACAAAATTTACAATTTGTTTACTTACACCTCAGCCACTAATAAATATTAATATGTTTTGATAAAAGAACACACACACACACACATACATATGTACAATGAGATAAAATCAGTGTTAACGGAAGGTGCTTTTTGTTTTCTTTTCTCGCCTTTTTCTTGAGTTTTTTTTTTGTTGTGATTTCTTATATGAATGCGGCAGCAACTGGTTGGTAAGGGAATGTGTAAGTGGTTAATTGTTCGCTTGGTCGGTTGATCGGTTGACGGGTTGGCGGGTCAGTTGGTAACTTGTTCTTGTTTTTACAGTGGTTGGTTGGTTGGTTGTTAGTAATGCGCCGATGATGTTGATGACTCATTCTTTGAATATGATCGTGAGTTTTTAAAAGTTGCTGCGTGCGTGCAATTATATATGTATATACATATGTACGAAAAGAAATTGTGTTTCTTCAAGATCTTATGCAGCTAGACTCGGGCATACATACATCCACATATTCACAAGCATTTTATTCGTTTGTGTATGTATAAATTAGCAGCTGTAACGGCCGCATTTGAGAGATTTCGAAATTTTACTAGTTAGTACTGAACTTGAATACATATTTTAAGCTACTTTGATCTCTTTAAGAGAATTGAGACAACAGAAATAAGCGAAGTCATCGATCTTTCCTTTTAGCAGAGTTCAATGTGAGATCTAAGCGAACCTTTATCTTTATGGGAATGTTTGGGCTCATTCCTTGAGAGGTCCTGCAGGTAAGGTAGCTACCGCCCTCTAATTTATATATTCAGAAAAATTGATTCTATGGTCACAAAAACAGTAGCCTGAGAAAAACAGAGAAAGCTCAAGCGGCTTCCCGAAATTCCATTTATTGTTAACTTTGCAGCTTTTTATATTAAAGTGAGAAAAATTAAAAAAAAAGCAATAATAGCGTATTAAAACTAACCAACAAAATATTTTAAAATAAAGCTTATTCTAAGTCTCAGAGTTGTTTTCTTGGAAAGAAATTCAAAGGAAAATCAGCTCAATGTAATATCCTCAAAAGATAGAGCTTTTTTCAGATAATTTGGTACTTTGTCCTTCTAAGAATGCCCTTTTTAGAAATTTTAGACAAAGTGGTTATCATGGAGGCAGTGAAAGACCAATCACGGCACTCACGATTAGTGATAAAGTGCAGGCTTGGCTAAAACGTGCTCCCGCTTCATCCGTAAGTGAAATTTGCTTGACTTAGAGCCCAGTAATCGCCAGCATATAAGCAGTGTGCACTATGTACCATCCGGAAGGTCTTAGGTTAAAAAGAAAACTATAAGTAGCTCCGCTTGTTGGAACACCATCACGATGATCATCATATATTGAAGGAGTACGAGTTTAAGAGGTCAAGTGATATGGTAGAGTCTTACTCAATTGTATCTCTTGAGTTTTCGGTATACCTCTTGGAAGCATGGGCAACCCTTGTACGAGGTTCCGTAGTCAGCCCGTGTGGAGTCCTGCGCCACGGTTGAAAAGGAGACAGTTTTGCGGAGTCACTCCGTCATATTCGACTAGAGGACTCATTAATGTCTTTAATCAGCTTCTGCTTCCCTATGAGACTTCTGCGCATGGGCGCCTTAATTAGAGGAAGCAACTGGCTATCATATTTAAACAGGTTTCGCGCTTTCATGCTCGATTTGGAACCCATTATGTAAAACAGAGTTCCAATAAAATAAAGACGCGGCTCAGATGATAGCCTCTAACTTTCTTTTAGAACCGCGATAAACGCACTACGAAGAGATCAAGCACATGTACAATATATATTTTCAATTCCCAAGGACGGTGGTTTGTCACATATTGACCAGACTCTAAGCTAAACTCACAGAATCATTTAAGACCAGCGTAGAATCTTCATTTGGCTACAAGATGTGAAGACAATATTATAGACACTTCAGCTGAACCTTTGTCAGATTTAAATTTGTGTTTCGTTGGTTTACTCACAAGCAACTGTGAGTTGGGCAGTTGGGCATCTTTAGAGTTCAATGAGGAGGCACGTGTATAATGAAAAATCTTTTGATCTCTTTGATTCTTCGGCTGCTGGTTTTACGTCTTGATGTTTTTCCAACAAATGACGGGAACTATAATTTATACTAAGCTGCCTCCAAACGGCTGATGTTTTTTTTACGAGGAGCCTTTATTTCATGTCAGAATACATACGGCGGAGGGGTTGACATTCCCTGTCGAGGGACGACCACAATGAGAAAATTTAACTTATTTCTTTATTTAAATTAATTTTCTATAACTTTTGGATGTTGGTCGCACTGGGATTTGAACCCTGGCCTTCCGATTGGCAGTACGCAATGCTAACCACTCGGATACCGCGGGCGCACGCATTCAAAATTTGGTTTCCCCTGAAAGACCTCGACAGTGAAGTACATATGTATAAATGAGATTTTTTTGATACCAAATCTCCAATTTGATGCCGCAAACTGATCTAGATTGAAGAAAAAACTATTTACGGTCACCGGAACTGTTAGTTTGAGAGAAATTTATGGTTCTGCATTGGCACTGACAACGGGACTAAGGTCTAAATAAAATAAATGCAACTCGTTTGGTAGATTTAGAGGACCACTAGGCCACTCCCAAAGAATTTTGTTGTTGTAGCGGTTCGCTAACCCCGCTTAGGCTCAGGTTTCAGTAATCTAAGTCACAGAGTTCATCTAATGGGATGCCTTTCCTTCTAACCTCAAAAAAAAATTTAATTTTTAATGTTTGTAAAGAAAATTCAATTTATTTTATGTTTTTTTTCGACATCAAGACGAACATCACAAAGGTCACACACAATTTTTTTTTCGCCTTGGTAAAAACAATAATAACGGGGGGTTAAAACTGATTTCTTGAACTGTCTTATTTTTTCATCGAATATTGATTTCATTTAATTTTCATTGTATTAAAATATTTTGTTTTCAGTTGAACAATTTTTGCTTGTATTTTTATTACTCAAATCTTTCACCATCTCTCTCGCCATTCTTGCACAAATATATTTATTATTATTTTTAATTATTTTCGTTTTTTTTATATTTTTTGGGTTTTTATTATTAAGAGAAATTAATATTATTCTTTTTTTATTTTAATAATTTTTTTTTCACCTTCACGCACGACTCGCGACCACATACATATGTATACATATATACAATATATACATTACATATATACATTCATACATACATGTATACATGCATACTTGCATAAGCACTGAAAAACTGGTTTATGCGGTTAATAGTTTGGGCTTGAACGCATTGCCAATAAGCCGAACCAACTTTGCATGCCACAGATGCCGTAAGCCGAAACTTCCACTTAAAGGAGAAAAATTCATTAAATGATTCACAACTTCTCACAAACATTCGCTTTTGTTTATTTTTTTTTTATAAAATATATACGTTTAATATTTGTAAAATTTATTTTTTTATTAAAATTAATAATATTACATTTTAATTGTGTTATTTCAAAGAATGCAAAAATTTCTCTTCACATACTATTCACTCTGCACGCCACTTTCACACACTTATTTACCCGCTACCAGCGCCCGTTTTGAGCCAAACTCAGCCAATAACTAAAAGGTGTCGCATTTAAACAACAAAAACTTCACTTCTCTACTGACTTTTGTCGGTTGATTTTGCACGCACATACATACACACATATACATACATATATAGGTATGTATGTACAAACGTTACGAGTTAAACACTCAACGCGATCGTTTGATGTTTTGTTGGGCTGTGTGTTTTCAACCTTTTCACATTCTACAAATACAAACACATTTTTCAGTGGTCTGTTGGAAATATTTAGCTTTTATAACTGAAAATTTGTAACTTCATACTTATTGGAGGTTGTCCGTAAATCAATTGGTAACAGTTTACTCCGTACGGACGGTAATAGTTCACTGACTTCTACTCAACACGTAAAGTAGCTCCTCTCTTGAGCAAGTTACATGGTTTATGAACGCTCCCTTAGTAACCTCTAAGATGGTCAGGCTGAGCTAGTCGAGTGATTTTATTTGCAGAGCATTAAAAATTAATGTCCTATGTCTAGGTTTAATCACCATAAGCAAGGAAAGTTGTTTGACGTAAAGGCTCTACTTCCAAAACGTCAAATATTCTCACGTCAGTTTTTCTTCTCCATAGGAATTGTACTTTATTTTATCACTCTTCCTCATCTTAAGTCGTTTGGAGGTCTAAAAGCTGCGCAATTTCCTTATCTATGACATTGCCTCCCAATATGTTGTGATGAATAAAAGATGATTAAAGTTGGAGGTAGGCGAATTGAGAGTTATTTTTTTTCCTTTTTTTGATAACGGACTGGACGTGAACCCTGACAAAACTGAGATGGCGTTATTTACCAGTAGATACAAACCGCATGCCTTTAATCCACTTAAACTAAAGGGCGTGGAAACTGGAGCCGGAACGTAGCAGATAGATCAAGGAATTCTATAACTGCAGCATACGCCTGCAAAACGGCGTTAGAAAAGAGATGTGAGTGATAGTGTGTAGCCGCAGATACGATTGTGTATATTTCTTGGGCTGCAATTGAAAAAGACGATACATAGTTTCAATTAGACGGTGCCACATGCCACAATATGACGAACAGGACGAGAAATATTTTCCCTGCCGCGAGAGATTTCTCAACATAGCGATGACAATTGGCCACCGAGATCGTACAGTTTGAGATCTTAGACTTTTTGGTAGGGTTACTCAAAAAACCCGTACGTGTGCGGATATTTCTTTACTCTTGAGCGCCTGAAATAAAGCATTCGTTAAATTATGGCATGAGCAATGTGTAAATGCTTTAGTCTGCTAAGAGCGATTTTTGGTTTCTTCATCAAGTTTTTTATCTGAGCGGTGGGCTAGGCGAGAGAGTAAGATTTAACTGGCGATTTGTGCGAGAATTTCACTATCTCACCTCTCCATTTTCCATGCTCTATTCCATTCAGCTAGCATCACGTAGGCATCGCGTAACTTTCTAAACCTAGTATAGTTTTTCTTCTACCTCTGCTTCTACAAGAGAGGTCTACACCGAAATTCAGAGAATATGAACTAACAAACGTAACTAATTTCTCCCAATTAGCTGATATATTCCAAAGGAAGGCAAGACTTTTCTCTCTTTTCTAGCACTAACTCATCAGATGTTGACATCGTCCACGCTTCTCCACCATATAGGAAAATAGACTCTTAAGAGTTAAGTTTTCGTCCAGAGAGGATTTTACTTTTCAATTGCTTACTCAGGCCAAAGTATCTTCGACTGGCTAGAATAATTCTATTTCGGATATTAATTGTCAACAGTGACGTGGGAGCCAAGACGCGAATGTGCTGGTTTTTTGTTTGATTGCAGAAGAGATTTTGACTTGTCTTCGTTCACCACCAGACCCATTCGTTTTGTTTCCTTGATTACTCTGAAGAAGGCTTATCAAACGGCATGGTTTTTAAGGCTTATCCTTTCAACATCAACGGTAAACACCAACAATTATGAGGGAAAAAAACAACTTTATTAGTCCTTTTTCTGTGTCCCAAAAAAAAAAACTCCAGGCACAAAAATTATCTTTTCCCACCTCAGCTTTTTCCCACAGGGAATCTGACGACTTTATTTGTTTGACAACAACAGCTACATACACACACTGGAATACGCAAAAGGGTATGCTACCAACTCAAGTTGGTGGAAAACATTTTTCAAGTGTCTCTAAATGACGGTCTATTGCCTTTAGCGGCCAAGTGTTTGAGATGGACATACATATGTACTTTCGTACAATCTGTGAACACACAACAAAGTATTTTTATACGTATATATGTATGTCCATATATATGCGGTCGTTTGTAACAACGAGTATTTCGGTTTATTTCAATTGTCAATCTATTTGAGTGACTACCTTTTGACTAAATACATTTTCCTCTCCCGGCAAATGGTTGATGGCGACTACCTGTTGCGCAGTTGTTGGTGCAAATCTGAAATAAACTGAAATAGTCATTAATTCCAGTTGATTCACTCAATTTCAATTGAATGTTAGCTGTTTTCATTGTTGAATTTATTTATTATACTTAAGATAATAAAAGAATGAAAATTAAAAGCAAATAAGCTTATGACGTGTTTATGCATACTTACATACACACATTTGTATTTTAATACAAATAAAATCGAATGATATTGTATAAACATTATTTGCTTTAGATTTTCAATTGTCGCTCAAAACAGGTTTTCATTCAAAAATAATTCAAAACAAAATGTAAACTCTACTCAATACATGGACAATTTCATAATATCTCCACTATGTGTATGTCTGTATCAATGAAATATTGCTAGCATATATGAAGAAAAACAGAAAATGTTGTCAAAAGTCAAAAACACACTCATATAGTTATTAATGAAGTTCACATACACATTCACATATACATACGTTCAAGCAACATAGCTGACAGTGCTGCCCATGTCATGTTAAGTGAGATTAAATTAATGGCACCATTGCATTTATAAATAGTTGGTTTGCCACTGTAAGAATTAATATTTGATATAATATTTCAAATAATTTACAAAGGTTGTGGTATGTTAATTTTTCTTGTTGTTGGTTGCTTCAATGGTGGCAAAAACAATAGAAATAAGGATAATAAATAACATATTAAAAAAAGATGCTCATAACGAATTTAATATTGATAAAATTAATGCACACTGCTTATCAAACTATTAAGTTTCCTGTTGATTCATATTGTAAAACTATGCTGCCATACTGATAAGTTTTCATATCTAACTCCATATTTTTTATGTACTCAACACTTCGAACAGATTCAAAGGGAATCTGTTTTGAGAATATTATCAGAGAACGTATAGGAATAAGAAGCGGCATGACGGGCTCGTAAATTGGCTTTTTCAGAAAGAGCTTAAATTGAAGAGCCAATCTCAGGAGTTCACGTCCTCTTCACACCATTCGTAGTTTGGTGGGGCGATATGTTAAAGTGAAACCATATATACGTTCTTTGATATTATAAAGGTTAATGAAATTTTTCCAAGGCTGCATCGTAACGATAATTTTCAAGTTAAGTTTGATTAATTTCAATCGGTTTGATTCAAACATTTGAAAATGTTATAGTTAAAACAGTTATTAAAATAGATTTTATTTCGTTTTTACCCGAAACAAAGAGTTTTCGTTTATGTTATACCGAAGAACGTATATTAATATTAATATGATAACTACATTAACAAATAATGTTAAGCGTTAAAATCGAAGTGCGCTGTTAATATTAAGGCAAGCAGCCACTTTAAATTGCGATTTCATTTCGTTGAGTTTATTTTTGGCATTACTAAAACGAAATGACATCGTTTTGTTAGTTGAGCATAGCTGATTTTTCCTTAGTCTATTTAAAATTTCCTCAGTGCCTGTTCCCTATAGTTCCTAGAGTTTTAAGCACCCTCTGAACGGTTTTTGTCGGAGGGGTTGATATACCCCATCTAGGAACGATCTGTTTCAGAAAATACTTTTCGCTTAATTTAAATTTTTAGTCTACTAAGAGTATGGACTCATGATAACTATACCTTATTTTTTGTGAATAGATTAATCCCCACAGAAAAACAGTGCTTTCCAATTTTTATTATTTATATAAATAAACAACAGCACCTAATTCATACTATATGTACTGATCGGCAATATGTCAAAACAAATTGTAAGCCAGATACGTTTTGCTCTACTTCTGTTTGCAGTAGAGGGTACTGAAAACTTCTAAAGCCGACTGAAAGATATTATCGTCGTCCAAGAGACTTGTAATGTTGCGATTTTGTACATCGAGAGAGAACATTAGCATTATTGTCGGTGTTGACAAAGCTTTCTATATTGGCGAAATTATCCATCTGATGTCCATATCATCGACATAAGCAAGATGTTGCTCGCACACAGAGCACGCTCTATAACACCCTTATATTCGATATTTAGGAAGCTTATCTTATGATGATTTGGAGCAGATTGTGGAGTCACCTCTTTGTGGATTGACCGGAGTTCACTTAGGTTTTAATCGTAAAACATGCGCTATTCTAAACAAATCTTGCAAAGAAATCAGATTCTACATGTGTCCGCTCAGCTCTTCTTTTATAACCATTTCAATCCAAAAAGCTCTGTTTACATATCTAAAATACCCTTCAGTTGATATGGGCTCTTACAAATAGCGAATATTTTTAGTTTCTCTGCTCCTGCTAGTTTGGAGAGTATAGCTCCCAGTATATGTGAAATGTAGATTTTAATAAGATTTTTAAAGTGGATGTGGCAACTCTATTCACTTCCAATACGAAAAATTACTTGCGCTCTCATCGCTCTCAAATATCTTTGAATTACTACACTCTAAATACGACAACAAAACGCTTTCCAATAATAACTCACTACTAACAGGCATACATACATACATACATATTTATATATAAATATAGATATGTGCATACTATATTTATATATAAAGTACTTGTTGTTGGTATATTTATGGCGTTGTGTTTTTGCTGAGTATATACAAAACACAACACTTTGACGGTGTACGAATAGATTGGGGCTGAGTTTTAGGTACGTGTTTGTATACACAAATGCATGTATATGTGTATAAACATTTGTATTCGACAGCTGATGGAGCAACGAGGTGTACAGCAGTGAAGGCCGAGGCGTAAATACTCGTAAGCAATTGCTGTATGCGACACCATCGTGCTGCGCCGACCGTCAGCGACCGGCCAGTCAGCCAAACAACCAAACAACCAACCATCCAGTCAACCATCCATCCATCGTCAACCATTAATTTGTGAACGTGTGAGTGAAGTGGTAGTGTAGCGCGCTGCTAGTGCCAAACGAGTGTAAAAAACAAAGTGCATTCGAGCAACGGACGACAAACGACTTGGAATGCAGCTGCTGCGGCGATGCAGCTGTGACGGAAAGAAAGAAAATTTTATAAATTCGTTTTTTGAGTTTGAAGAACATTTTTATACAAATAAATTGCACTTAATGTAAGTGTGATTTGTTTAAAATATAATTTTTCTGAATTAATTTTTACGCTTTGTATTTGTGCGAAATAAACGCAATGAACGGATTGCTTGTGTGAGTGAAATTAAAATTAATTGAGTTTCGATTGCATGTATTGTCGGTGCTGAAGTGCTATTAAAATTTTTTTTTGTACTTTTTTCTTTGAAATTTGTGCTCTTAAATATATTTTTTTTTTAATTTTCTTTTTATTTTATTTCTTTATATTTTATTTATTTTTTTTATTTTATTTTTATTTTACTTTTAATTTTATATTATTTCTTTAATGTTTTTTTACTGTCGCTAGTGTGTGTGTTCGCTGTAAATTTGCACCGGAAAAAGGAGTAATAAAAATTATATGTACCGTTAAGCGCTTAAAAACAAAATACGCGTATTTTTCGCGGACTGTGCGGAGTATGAAAAATTAAAACAGAAACAAAAAAATACTGCTGGTGTGCACGATATTTGTTGGGCGAAAGTACAAGCAGCGTGAAGTGGCGAGAAATAGACGGGCGTGGACTAAACTTAGCTTCACTATGTTTAAGTTTTTCTTTTTACAAACATACATATGTACACAAGTACGCGCTTATTAATTAAAACAAAAAACGAGTGCTTAGAGCCCAATTTGAGAGAAATCGCCTTATTTGGCTCGTGTATTTTGTAGTTCTTGTTTTTGTTTGTTTGTTCTCGATTTAGGTTTACTTCTAAGTGCGCCCCATTAAGAGCACATAAGCACAACCTGATCACCGCTTAAGCCAAAAAGCAGTTAATATTCAGTTTATATTCATACATATGTACATACATATGTACATACATATGTACATACATATGTACATAGTATGTATGTACATTTGTACACACGCAAACACATCATGCTACTTAGCGATTTAGATCAACAGCAATACTTCCGTTGCTTCCAATTTTGAGATTTAAAAAAAAAATTACTTGAGTTGTGATTTCCAGTAAACACCTGGTTTTTTGATACACAGCGAGCACTAAATAAACGCAAGCATACATACATACACAAGTGAAATAAAAATAAAATTTAAGCCACACAAATATGTGTATACATATGTTGATACCACGCTGCGCTGAAGCCGTCTTGCTTTTGCACGGTTTTTTTTGTTTTACTCCGCTTACTACCTTTGCTTGTGAGTGATAGCTTTCAACAAGTCGGAAATACATGGTCTCATATGTACATATGTACTCTTATCGTTATAAACAACCAACCACAGGCTGACTGGAAGTGCGCTCGTTCTCGTGCGATTAGCATCTAAGCATCCAGTGCCTCGCATACTTCATTCGTCCTTGAGGCAAACTTGTGGCTCTCAAAATCTTATAGCGACATAGTAGAATACATGAAATTGCTATTTGTAATTGGTTGTTGTTGTTTTGCCTTTCTTTACATACATAGTTAAAAATTTTACATTTTTCTGCTATTCCTTTCCAGTTCTTAACCTGTTTTCTATTACAAAAAATACAACAAAGTCGTTTAATTGTGCAAGTTTTTGTGTAATCAAATATCTTCGTAAATACATACATACATACATATCTACACAATCTGCTATTTGTTTTTGTTTATATCGTGCATCGCACCGGCAAAAGTGTATGTAGAAAAAGTGAAGTGCAGAGGGAGAAGAATAAGAAGAAGAAGGAAACATGAATAATTTCACAAAAACTGAAGTATTACCAAAGAGTGGACATGTCAATGAAGGTGAGTGAGGGTTATAAGTTGAATTTTATTATTATTAAGTATATATTTAATATATTTAAACGTATACATACATAAGTATATATAACTCTCTCTGAGCAATGTTCTAATAGCTCATAAATTATTACTTAATTCTAAATCAGCGTTAAAAGTGATTAACTTCCGACGGTTTTTTGTTCCGAATATTCTGACCTAACATAATCCAACTTAGTACCCAAATTTTAGACTATTTTTTACATCATAGTGAGGACAAAAGTTTTGAATTCCGATAATTTTTTGTGTCTCTCAGTATAAATTTTGCCAGCATATTGCCAAAAGATAAAGAACAATTCTTCATAAAAATTTATAATATTTTGCGGCCCTAAAACTGTTGCCGAAATGTCAACGTATTTTATTTATAACAAAAACACATACAAAAAATAAAAATAAAAATAAAAATAAAAAAATAAATAAATTGATTCAAATACCATTTTTGAACTTCATTGACTGTCGAAAATTAAAGATCGAGTTTCAAGTAGGTATTAAGAAACGTACACAATTTTTCATAATTTAATCGTGACTGCAAAATTCTTAGTAAGAAGGCTGGAATTAATAAATAAATAAAGAAATAAATAAAAATTATTTTGCAATAGAAATTTGTTCGATGGTTCATGCAACACAAAAAATTCTATGAGAGTTCGATTTCGACACTTGGTATTGTGATCGATGATCGAAAGCAGCAATTAATAAAACTAGTCTGAAATTTACTGTTCCTACGGGTTCAATTCTGCAAAAAGGTTTCCAGGTATTTCATTGTTGAAAATAAACGTTCTACAGTATAACAAGCTGGGTTAGATGTTAAGTAAACAGGAATTGTTTGGGAAAAGTTCACTAAGACCCTCTTCTGCAGTTATTGGGTAACGATCTTGTTTTTGGGTTACAATTTTGAGATGGTGATTTTATGATATTATGATATTTTTGAAAACCCCTTAAATCTCCCCCCGGAATTCTGTTCTGGTTATGATTATACTGCTATTTTTCAAAACAAGTTTTACTTTATTTTCCTTTTTTGTTTAATTATTTTGCATTATTCTATTTTATCTCGAATAATTATTTTGCATTATTCTATTTTATCTTAAATTTAATTTATGATTCGTTTTTTAATAAATTTTATTTTACTTCATTTTTTATATCATCAATATAAATGTATTTAGTTTTTATATTTTTTTGCTTTTAGTTTTACTATTTTCTTAATTAATTATTTTATGTTTAATTTTACTCAATTATTTATTAATACTTAATTCAATTTATTAATATAATTTTAATTTTAGTTTAGAACTGTTTCATATTTTATTTTAGTTTTATTTTATATTTTTTTATGTTTTATTATATTTTGTATTGTGTATATTTAATGTTCTGTAATACTATTTAATTTATTAAATTTAATTTTATTTATGTTTTGGATATTATATTTAATTTATTTTGCTCATTTTTATTTTATTTTATTTGTTGCATATAATTTTTTATTTTACATTACTTCTGCTGCTGTGGATGAGTGCTGCCTTCAAGCGGTCCATTTGTTGGCAGTAGAGGGCCGAATTGACCGTTTGGCTATAGGGGAGCAGCTCGTTGTAGATGATTCCTTGCCAATCCCACCACACACACAGCGAAACCTGGTGAACCTAGCAAACCACTTTTGTGCTACACGTTCGTTTACAGTATCGGGCCCATAAACTAAATTAATTTTTTCAGCCGTTTTGGCTGCTTTTTCGCCTTGATCGAAGAAAAATTTTAATATATAGCGAATTTTCTCTTTACTGGTGTCCATCTTTGACGAGCGCTCACAAAGTACTGACTCAATCAATCGAAAAACTGTGCCGTATAGTATGACATGATGCGACACGTAACACTAGTACTATGGACAATAACGCCACCTCTTAGATAAAAACCGAACGTACTTTTTACTTGACCTAATATTGAAGCCTTTGTACTGAGTCACTGATCCTATGGTCATGACACTTGGCGGTGTGTTCTGCGTATGACGGAACAATTGTTTCGGCTTTGGAAGAGCTTAAAGCTAAGCATAATATAATAATATTCACGATAAGCCTACAAAATGGTTATGCAAGCGTACCATCATTCGAAGCGGTCGAATATCAGTATAAGTACGCCGACTCAATGATAAACACCGATGATGGCATTCATTATCTGTTGGAGTTCCTGAATACACTGCAGCCGGCCGGTTACCCAATTAACGTATTGAAATTAATATTGGGAGCGCATATTATATATCTGCGCAGTATAAAAACACAAAATTTGTGCAATGCCACCCTGTTACAGGTGAAAGTCTTGGATCGATATGTAATGGAGGCTGCTTTACTAACAGGTTGTTTATAAGGAGACTGTGTATTTATTTCTAGGATTCTCAAACTATAAACAAAGCTCAGAGAAAGTTACTTCTTCAAAAGGCCAGTTGTATTAGGTATGCTCCAGAGTAAGCTCAAAGAATAGACTAGCGCTTCACCTCACGAAAACAAGAGATATAGTACACAAAGAAATATTGCGGTAAGTGTAGAATTTGGTTTTCAAAATCGATATCATGCTGAATATCGTCTACGCCTACTGATGGTACATCTACTTGAAAAGATTCCTTGTTTGGCACTTCAGGAGCTCTCTCTCAACCTGTTGACGTATTGTATTGCATTCAATTATCATCAGCTCTTCGAATCCCATCAAATGTGCAACAGATTCTTCAAGAGGAGTCAACACTATCTGCTTGTAAGACCCTCCGCAGGTTGCTCTTGACTCTTTCATTTTGGTCATCATATTTTTTTCTTCACTTTAAATTTGGAAATAAAATAGGCATCCAATGCCATTAATTTTTGTGGCAATAACTTCCCACTCCTCTTTTAAATTGTTTTGGATAACGCTTTTTTGGAAACCCCTTGTTAAATGTGGCAAGAATTTCCAATTCCGCCATAAGAATCTCAAAATGAGCGCTTGTCGTTAGCCGGTTTAATTTCTGAATCATCTGTTATGTTGAGGGATCGTCAGTAAAGGACTGACGATAAGAGACAATAAGAAACGACAGAAAACCATAACGATTACGCTGACAAGCATGCCGCAACAGCGTCGTCTGACAATACTGTTGACGATTGCAATGGTCATTTTCACTGACAATGAGGATATTTAGCATAAGGCAGAATAATTTATCAGAATTTTATGTTATTTTCATGCTTTTCATTAATGATATATTTCATGTTTATTAAAAAATTTTAATTTCGTTAAAACACTTGGAAATGTGATCGTGAAAGTAGTTATCAAAATAAATTTAGTTCGTTTTTACCTGAAACTGAATGTTGTCGGAGATGTTAAGTTTTTAACAGATAATGTGAAATCGTTTACAGACAATGTTAAGTCAGTAACAGGTAATGTTAATCCTTAACAGGTGAAGCTACTTGATTAACAGGTGACGTGAAGTGATTAGCAGGTGAAGTTAAGTGGTTAACAGATAATGTTAAACATTAAAATTGATGTGTGCTGTTAATATTATATTAGAGGAGTCATAATTTCGTTTCGTTTAGATGGCACGGACACGTTAAATCATTTTATTCATATTTATACGTTATAATAAATTTAATTTTTTTGAAATTATTCAAAATAGTTCCTATAAAATGTATGAATTATTAGCTTTTCAAGTAAATAAATAAATAAATATCATAAAAACCTAACCTAAAACTATAACAAGTGCAGTTTGGAATTCCATGCGGTCGAAATCGCAAGTAAACTCTAATTATATCGTAAAGATTGTGTTCGGAGCATGATTCAAATATGAAAGTCAACGACTTTTTGCAATTAAAAAAATTGATCAATTGAGAAGGCAAATTACAATAAATATTTTTCTCACTCTAAACAAAGGCAAATTATTTAAACTCTATGTACAAATTCATATGCTATAAACATTATTTCAACTTGAACTCATAAACTACCATCACCTTTATAAGGTTACCGTAAAGTAAACAAAATACCCTGAGTATGATATCTTGCATATAATTACATGTGTAAATATTTCCGAAAATATGTTATACGCGAAAAAGCACAAAACATAATGAGAGAGATAATAATAATGAAAAAAACTTGTATTTCGCGACTTTCACACAGCGAACAACAATAGCATTGATATAAAATCGACAACATAGATTCATTACCTACACATACACACAATTATCTATTGGAGATAATGATGGAGCAAATAATAATTATCGGGAATTATTTCAGATGTCATTACAAACATACATACGTGAGTACTTACGTATATATATCCGCAAATATATATATAATTATATATAGGCAACTATGAATGAACTTTTTTTTGATGACAACAGTCAAAACATGCAGCTTCCGATTCCGCAGTGTTACTTGTTACACAAAAGTAGTAAAAAGTAGCAAAACTAGAAAAGTCCAAGTATTTTTTTTTTCAACTTATACTACCGTTAACTTGTCTTTATAGTGAGAAGCTGCAAATAACAAAGACTTCGGAAATAATGGAGATACTAAAAAAGACAAGAGTCAGCTTCGCAACTTTCTATTTATGTACATATATTGAATATACGTACATTTATGCATAATATTTTGTATACACAATATATATATGCTGTATTCATTTGCTTTATTATTTGCTTATTTAGTTATAACAAGCGAATTCACTTGTTAATTATTTAGCTAACTGGTTATTTCCACCATCACATTACGCTCCAGGGAACAGTGAGGAGAGAAAAACACTACCAAAAACATATTGAAAATTTTGTTTTGCCTCACTCCGAATAAAAAAGTTTCAAACTATGCTATAATCTAAGATGACCTAAAAAACTGCTCAACCGGGTGACAGTAAACGATCTCAGAGTCTGAATCTAATGCTACTAACTACTTACTATAGTCTTTATATCCAGCAGGAGGAAACTAGAAAATCTGCAAATATGAGGATTTTCAGACGGGCACACATTGAAGTCTTCCTAGTAAACATT